GCCAGCGCGCCAACGCATAATATTAAATAAGATTTTTTTCTTTTTCTCTTTGTGTGCTTTGGGTACTTTTATTATTAATTTACGCGCATTTCCGCACTTTCCGTGCATACGTAGTTGCCACCAGTTCAAATTATGTAGGAAGGTGTTCAAGCGACAATGTTTGTGTGGCTGCTGGGTCAGGCAGCGAGTAGATAATTATTTGAAATGCCCGTAGTGGCAACGGATTATAAATATATTCGTATGTACACAGTCGGCAAAATTTAGAAAATAAGAGGCCTTCTGGGTGCCTTTGAAGCGATAGGCCTTCTCTTCTCGATTTTCTACTCCTCTTCATTTTTTATCGAATGGCCAGATTCAGCTGCCCTTAGAAGGGAAAAATTCACACGAAATAATATTTGCAACAGTTTGAAACACCGATGCGTCTACTGCCATTTTTAGTAAAGCTTCCAAAGAGAAAATTTAATTGAAAAATCTCTTTCTGAGGGCGCTTATTTCGCAACGCGTCTCATTTTGCCGACTGGGTATCCTTTCATCTACTTAATGCCTTCCATTTATATTTTATTTCTATTTCATAAGCAAACTTCATTAACCCCAGCCCCAGTTGTGTGGTGGGTGCGTCGACGACCTTGTGCGTTTTTCTTTGGTTCGTCGCTTGCTTTTCCTGGCGCAAATGTCGTTTGTCATTTGTCCAACACTATTGGTGGCAATTTTTCGCAATGCTTTGCACTTTTCACGCGAAGTATGTAATTTTTCATAGCAGCGCCTGCGCTTATAGTATTTTGCCACTACTTCAATGATAACAAAGAAACAACCATATTTTCAACTTTTCTAATTTGTGATTTTGACAGACTTGCATATGTTAATATATTATAAAAATAGCCCTTAGGTGCCTGCTACTGCTGCCTTCAAAATATTTATGGCTCAGTAGTGCAATTTTCTTGGCTGAAATAAATTGGCTGAAAATTTATAATTGCCGCCAATTTATTTTAACTTTTCCGTTGTATTTTCAATCGTTTTCTGCCATTTATTTCGGGTTAAGATTTCGTTTCCCGACATTTTTAATGTGAACGTATTTATATTCATTTTATGCGTTTCTTAACCTTCCGTGTTGTTATCTTAGCACTTGTTCACTTCTTTATTTGAAAATTTTTGCTAGTATATCGTATTTCCAGTTTTTTGTTTTTTTTTTTACTGCAGAATTCGCCACTATCTTTTTCTCTGTTCATTGTCAAAGATCAAAAGAAATAGTTTACATTATTTCTGTTGATTGAAAAATAAAAATAATATCCGAGCTTTAGTTCCTTGAGAGCTGCAAACTATTTTAAGAAAATATGGTTTTAATTACTTAAGCGTTTTTTTTATGTTTTTTTTTCTTTTCTTGCAGCTAGATTATCGGAGCTGTCCAGCTTCGTAATAGCCACGTAACAAGCATACAAAAAGTTATGGGTCTCTCGTGTCTAAATCTGTCTGAGCTGCAGGTCTTTTAAATACTTGAACTTTTGATATTTTAAAGTTGGACTGTTGTTTCAGCGAACAAAGTATATCCTTCTGAGCGATAGGGAGTGTTTTCACACTTGCAGGTATATTTTGCACTTTATTGATAATATATTTTACAACTGAGGATGTCTAACTACAAAGTAATTTTTAGACTTCTGGCAAGATTTTATTTATTTTTAAGAACTAAAAATGTACCTCAAAATAAAAGCCCCTCACTTTCCTTTTGGGAGGGTATCAAAAATTCTTAAACTTTTCTAAATAAAGCCCTCTGTAAATTTATTCAATTTGACCAATCATAACACTTCACTTCGACACCGTTTTTTGTATGGCAAAAAAATTCGTAATACAGTCAGAAAAAATAGTATTAAAAAATCTACGCGAACTCTCAGCAACTTAAAACTTGCACTTTATTATTATTAGAATATAATGGGCTCATACTCAAAATGTAAGACGTTAACATTGAAGCGAACCAAAATCATAACTGAAAACGCATCCATAATGAGTTATTTGACCAGATATTTTTATAACTATGAAATGCCGACATGGTGGATAAAATAGCCTTGATGCCAGTAAATAGTTCGATAAGAGACAAAAGAAGCCAAATTCCAAGCACAAAACATCATATTATCACTGATGGTTCCAGGGGAATATGTCGGTATATGACAATGCAAAAAGTTATCGCACATCTTCTGAGTTTTAATATGCAAAATCTTCTTCAATTTACATGAGGACAAAAATAACAATTGAATCGGTGAGTTCGACAACCGTACAAGTCCAAAAATCAGTTGAGTTCAAAAACATTTCAACTCACTGACAAGTACCGCTTTCTCCTCATTTTACGGGTGCAATCAGCTGAGCTACGTTAGCGGAGAAATGAGTGAAAACCCGTGCATGTCCGTGACTTGTACTCTTTTTGATTTCAACAACGAAAACCCGATTTTGGACTTGTACGTTTTTCGAACCCACCGAATCAATTGATTCCAAATAGCTATACATTATATGCAAACTAAAGCAAGGAAGAAATTCTCTAAAATTACCTCAAAGAAGACGAAAAACATGTATTTGGTGTTTTTAATAAAAAAATTTTCCCTAGCAGAGGTGTGTATTTCCCTAGCAGAGGTGTGTATTTCCAGATGCATATCGTTTCCTTAATTCACAAAGGCCCTAACGAACATTTTTTTTTATTTTACAGGAGAAGCAAAAAACATTATAAAAAGAGTATCAAAAACAGGTAGACTTTATAAAAAGTGGTATGTAACTCGGTTTTTTTTTTTTTTGGTACTAACACTTTAAACTTTTTATTGAAGGTGCATTTTAATCCATCCTACCAATTTATGAAAAACGCAGTTTCGAAAAAAGTATTGGTTAGGGCCTTTGTGAATTTGGGTAACGATATGTATGTATGTATGCGTACCTTCAAAGGCTGAAATTGGTATTAAAATGGAGCTATATATCATAAGCGTGATGCAGCTAAATTGCCCTTTGTTAAATCTGTTGCTAAGGAGATACACTGAAAAGCATTTGACATTTAAAAATACTAAAGCTCTACATTGAAATGTACCATCCTCCAATAAATAAAGACTAATTCGCCACGACAAGCCTCCTGCCTTAAAAAGGTTTAAATTTAATACATGGAAAGTGTTATCCGTACAAAAATATCATTTTTTCTATGCTTGTCTGCCGGTTTTTTTTTCTTAGGAACAAACACTTTTACAGATTTAAAGCCCAGTCAAGGATACATAAAAAGTGACTTTCAGAATCACGCCACCTTCTGTAGAATAATATAAAATTTCTCAGAAATTCCCATAAATCAAAACTTTTCATCAGCGAGATATTCGGAAGAAGTTCATTTGATATAATGTGATCATTCTTCGTAAGTGTTGATTGCATCCTCTAAAAATTTGTCAAAATATTTTCAAACTAAGACTTTCTTAAACCTCTCTCTTGTGATACTTTCTCTGACTTACATGTAGTTTAGAAATTAAGCCCCGTTCAAAACCATTTTGATTGGTACCCTCATTGTAATAATTCATTGAAATTATTGAATAGTTCGAATTTATATTTATAAACAGTTGGCAACCTCTTTCGTCTGACACTTATATTGTGATACATACGTATGGATTCAAATTACCTAATTCCTATAATTCAAGTCGAATTTGAATTTTTAAACATGTGGAAACCATGCTATACATATGTAGCTTAGAAATAAAGCCTTTTCGAGACACTTTCGATTAATATCGTAATATCTCATTTAATTATAATACAATTGTGTATTTGAATTTAGTTTTAAAACAACAACCCTCTTCAAATACCTCAGAAAATTCTGCATGTTCATGCTGAACATTTCAAAACAACTTGAGTATAATTAATTTAAATTCGGCTTTAAATAAAAAATGTTGGCAACCCAATTCAAAATATTTTCCAACGATAACCTCATTCTGGGTTATCGAATGGATGCATTCAAAGTGTATGCTTCGTTCGTATCTATTCACATTTAGTGATAGCATTTTCGTAGATTTCGCGAAAATTCGGACTACGACGGATTCAGTGATAGCGCTGATTAAACCCCTTTCGTCCGACGACACCGATATTGTGAGCATATTCCAATCACCTAACTCCCTTAACTCAAGTAACATTTGATTTTTTTGTTAACAGGTGGCAACCTTCCAACTTTAGCTTAGAACTAAAACCCTTTTCAAAAACATTTCCATTGGTGCCCACATTTTAGTAATTTAATTGAATTAACTGATTTTAATTTTTAAACGGGTGGCAACCATTGTAAAACACCTCAACACTTTTGTAAATGTTCAATCTGCAGGTTTCCTATTAATCTTTAGTATGACACCCATATTTTAGTTTTTCAGACTCTTCAAACAGGTGGCAACCCTTTTCAAACAACTTTTCCTCTTTGATGCCTCTTGGCATCAATTTTTTAACATAATTTTCAAATAAATAATTCCCTTACTTCAAGTTGAATTTGATTTTTTAAACAGGTGGCAGCCCACCTCCATGAGTATGGAAGTGATTTAATATATCTGCATACCAAGCTCCAGTACTCTATCACAAATATTTCCTGAGATATTCAGTCGGTAAAAATTACGTTTGTATGGGGAGGTGCCACGCCCCCTCGTCTATTCAAGATTAAATCGATTAAAGAATATCGTAAACTTCCCAAAAGAAATAAGAACTAAAGGGGGGGTATTTAATATTCTTTTTTTAATTTTAGGAGGGTGTTTTAATATTGTGTTTTTTCAATAAGAATAGCCGAGTGGTTAGAGGTGCGATGTACCACTCCAGAGGACCCGGGTTTAAGCACTGGTCAAAGCAACGTCTCAAAAAAATATAAAAAAAAAAGTTTTTCCTTAACAGCGGGCGCCCTTCAGTAAACAATAGCAAGCCTCCAAGTATATTTCTGCCATAACAAAACTTCTCTTAAAACCTAACTCTTTAAAACCGCCAAAAACAAACAAAAAAAACACTAAGGCATAGCCAAAGTAACTCACCCAGCGGCGGCATGTTGCTGCAGCTCTACGAACGCCGATTTGCCGGGCATTTGTGCGCCTGGCGTTCCGGTTGTTGTTGTACCACCATCCATATACTTGGGAGTGTGCGGTGCGTCGGGCGCATCCATGCCGGATTGTGGTGTACTGGGAGGCCCCTCATAGGGGCTCCCTAAGTCAGTAAAATTAAGCGTGTTGGCGCCTATCGAGGCCACTTTATCAAGAATTTTGACGGCTTTTTGGGGGGACGCGTGCACGAAATTAAAAATTCACAGCGTTTTGTCAAAAGTTAAAGGTTCACTTTTTTGCTCACTTTTATTCACTTTATTTTTAATTTTTGGAAAAGTGTAATTTAAACAAAAAAATGCAAAAAATTTTTGCTAGCACAAAATTGCAAAAAAAATTTCGAAATAAAGAAAATGTAAGTGTGTCGATATTTTCCTCTTTTATGAAGTTATTTTCCTTGCTGATGACTTTACTGTTATTGTTATTGTTGTTCTTACTTTCTACTCGTTCCTTACTGTTTCTTTTTTATTATCGTAAACAATGACACACGCACGTTAAGACGAAAGTGAATCAATTTTTTTTCGAACAGCGTATTTTTTAATTGCAACAACAGTGCCGCCACAAGCCACCACACTACTTTTCCAACAACACTTTTAATTAGCGTATAATTTGTGTCATTTTACTTTCTGCATTGCAATTAGCGATTTGCTGCGCGACGGCGACGGCGGCGGTGGCGGTGGCGATCGCGAACGCTCTTCAACGAAAGTTTCTTGACGTTTATGGGCGAGTGTGTGAGTGCGTGCCTTGATTTTGGCGTGGGCGGCAAACTATGTGGTTGGTTGACTGCTTGTTGTGAGGGGAGGGCTGTTGATTTGGCTGGGCACGTGACTTTTTGCAGCGATTTTAATTGTTTCTGATAGTCGATTAAACTTTTTTTGAGGCCAAATAGTTTTGTGTTAAACCGCAGATTTAAGCACTTGGTGAATGAAATTTTGTTAAGTGAAGTATCTTTTTTAGTTTACTCTTTTCCTCCTATTTTGGTTTTGGAATTATCTTATCAAATCACTTAAACGAACTTTTTTCAACTCATCCAGTTCCCTGTGTCTTTTGTGTTAAGTTAATTTTATGGAACCAGCGTTATTATTTTTTTTACTTTTTCTGACTATTTTTAGGTTTTTTGATTGGAGTGTAAAAAAACTGCTTTGTTCGAAATATTTTGTTTTAATTTATTTTAAATAAAAAATCGATTTTTTTTTTGTCATAGGTTTTTAATTAAGATCAGCACGTACTTTTTCTGTCCTGTATCCGTCCCCGGTATATTTTTAAGTCAACAAAATCACTAACTTTTTTTTTCGTTTTTTATGTATTTTGAACTTAAATGCACTATTTCAAGATTAGGAGCATTCCAAAATTCACCTCGGTCTTCAATTGAATGCAGCTGAATTTTTTAAAAGATAATTCACGTTTTTTAATCTCTTTATATTTTAATAAGCTAAGCTTTATTTTTTGATTAAAATTGCAATCAAAATCCGCCGCGAAAATCGCGCAATTGGAAGCGTTAACACGACGGCGGCGTTTACACTCGTCTAAGCGCGTTTTCAATTCTTCGAGGTAGCCACCACACACAGTAAATTCACCCGTCGATTCGAAACACTGCGAACGAATTGTACGCGCGACCAACCACAAACAAAGTGCGTGAACGACTAGGTACGAGGTGATTATGTGATCATTTGCTGCGCTGCAAAGACGCCCGCGAACACTGAATGCCGCTCGCTGCTCGCTCCAATCCGACGATGACGATGACGACGACGCCTGCCAGTCCGATAGCGTAGCCAGTTAGTAAGCCAACGGTCCGGAAGACCGGCTAAGCAGCGCTTGCTATACTGGTTTTCACAGTGGCTGCGGAGCGCTGCAGATTTTGTCGCTTGTCGCTGTCGCGTGTGCGAGCAAGCTGAATGCGGCTGAAGCTCGTGTGAGTAAGTGCGCGCACAACAGCTGCTGGTGGACTGGAAAAACTAGTTAACATTTATTCCAGTTATTCGCGCTGCAGTCCGACAACCATACATCACTGGAGAGAGTGCGAGTGCGAACGCTGTACAACGGCGCGCAGCCACTCGTACTCACAGTGCCTACTGCAGCTTGCTCGCTTTGGCAGCGCGCCAATCAGACATGCAGCAGAGCAGTGCCGTTAGTTGTGCCGCATGGCGAATCGGCGCCACGATTGGTGGAAAGAGTGCGGCCACACCTGAAAACAAATATGGCGCTCTCTCTTACGCTACCGTTACGTGAACCGGTTCTTAGCGACATGGCGCATGGTTGCTGTTTGCAGGAAAACCGCACCTGAGCGCTATCGGGTTCTCGTTCTAACATTCGGAGTTGGCTTGTGCTCGATTTTGTTGTTTTATGAATGGAGTTTTTTCGCCCTTTTCATTCATTGTATCTACACACATGTGTTTTTCTGCTTTGCTATTGAAACACATTGTTTTTGTTGCATACAGGCATGGGTGTCTCTGCAAACTGCAAGTTGTTCTTCAGCTTGTTGTTGTTGCATTTTTATTACTTTTTTCTTGTTGCCTTTTGGGAATGCTCACTTATTGCCGAGGCGGAGTTTTACAAACTGCCTCAACGCACTTCTCCTTTCCCAACACCGCGTCTGTTTCCTCCTCATAGCTCGTGTTTTAACCTGCTGTTTTATGTTTTATTTTCCCCTTTTATCCACACCTCTCACCTTTTGACACAACACCACCGTGGCTGACTATGAGTTCGCTTCAGCTATTTTTCTCACCATCTCAGCATACAGTCACAGTCGTTGCCGCTCGGCCACCCAACCACCCAACCACTGCCGTTGCGGCGTCACTATTTGGTGTGTTTTTTTTTGTTGCTGCTTTTGCCATTTTGGCTTTCGGATTTTGCTCTCAACTCAGCGCTTGGCCTTTTTTTATTGCCGCTTTATGCAAATTTGGAGTGAAAATTTACGCGATTTGCTTGAATGTTTTGACTGCAAGTGCAAATATTGTGACATAAGGGAGAATAATAAAATTGAATCAAATACATATATAAAAACGCATAACGAGAAATGCAAAAAATAACGAGGAGATATGAAAAAAAAAAATATAATAACCGATTAAAGTTGCATATTTTGCTGGCCGACTTGATTATCGCTTAACATTTGATATGTTAATTAATTATGGATGAATTCCAACACATTCGGGAACAAAAGTTATCATTTTCATGCTATCTCAATTTGTCAAATGTCTTTGTATATATGGGTGTTTCCTGCACCAGTATGCGAAATAGTGTCAATTGACCTTATTTCCGTTGATCTTGGTCTGCTCGCATACAATTTTGTTTTGCTAAAGTCAAAATCCTTGAATTCCTTTTTAAAAAGCTGATATGCTTCGGTAACTGTCAAAACCATGTAGCGCTTTGGTGTAGGCGATTCTTGCTTACTTAACAATGTTTATTTTCTTCCAGCTGCTTGTACAATTTTTATTAATTTCGGGTCGTCATTTTCGCATTTCGCCTTCTCATTTTCAGTCGTCATATTAATCCGACAATTTCTTCTTAATTTATTTTTTTAACTTTTTTTCTGGCTTTACTGTCTACTTTTATACTTGGCAAGTTTTTTTGCGAAATTTAGTCGCATCTTGGTGCTTTTTTGCCAGGATATAATCATTTTTAATTTTTCATCCATATTTCTTTTTCTTTCGATCTCTCTTTTTTTATATTTTACCCACTTTTCTTCATCTTTCTTCAAATTCTGCTTTGAATGTTCGTTGAAACCATGTCCTTGTACAAGCAGAAGTATGTACTATATCTATATACCTACATAGAAACAATATGAACAAAAATTATTTGAAGCGTTGGGACGTTCCGATTTTAAATTTCCTTACAATCGGTAATCCTATAGCTTTCCGAAAAAAATTTCATGCGACTGGCAAGAGTAACAAAAACTAGCTTTTGTATTAAAATTTTGACAAATAAAGTAAACGTTACGACTTTTTTTACATATGAAGTATATTTTGCTACCGAACGCTTAAAAAAAGCACAATTTGTAATTTAACTTTAGACGGTTCCTTATATATTTTTCCTTTTTTTTTTTGTAAGACTATAAGCTATACTAAATTCTTGCATAGAGTTCCAATTCGTTTTAATTATGTACCAAAATTATGAAAGCTTTCTGGAAAGTATGATTTCTCCGAAAAAAAAAATATTTGAAAACGTACCTAGTTGGAAAGACGCCAATATCTTGAAATGCAATGGACCAATTAGTCCAATATTTTGGTGTATGAATTGAAAATGAAAAATTCAAATTTAGTAAAAAATTTAGTCTTTCACTTTATAATTTTAAGTGATTCTCAAAAATGTAAAGGTTTTTTTATAAACACCTACTAAGTAATTATTTGGTAGATTACTGTTAATAAAAGAAAATGCAATTCTTTATCCAAACATTATGATTTGGAGAAAAATTCCCCACTTATCTTTTTCATACCACAAAATTTTGTGCAAAAAATTTTTCCCGGTGAAAACTTTTTGGCAACCAAATTAGTTTTCATTAAAAAAAATTTTAATTTTACGTCAGGTGATGAAAAATGTTTTCACATCACGTTATCACAGAACAAGAATTGACTCAGGCCGAAGTGACAACAAAATTTAGACGTTTTTTTTTTAATTGACTATGTATAGTTTGGCAAACAATATTAAAATTGTAAACAAAAAGTCATTTCAATATGATTTGAAATATTTTGTTCTAGTTTTGACACTTCAGTTGCTGTCGAAATCACTTGAATGTATAAAAGTGATAACTCCAAAATTTTTTGTTGTTAGGAATGCTGTTGAAAATTTCTAGGGCCTTTAGAATTAAAAAATTTTCCAACTCTTCAATCAAACGCTATTCTTCATACAATCCAAAACCTCTTTCTTTAATTTGCTTTTTTCTATGCGTATGGACTCGAAATAAAAATTCACAAATTGATTTTGTTTTCTAAATTTTAGCGAAGAATAGTTCCAAAATGGCGCTCTTAACTAACTCTTCTCTTCCAATAGTGGTTATATGGCTTCTTCTTCTTATTTGGCACTGCAACCGTTTGTCAGTTTGGGCCGAGACTAAAAAACTTCGCCAGTTGTCTCTCTCTTTTCCGACACTGCGCCACTTGTTCATCCCAAGTGCGGATAGAGCCTTCTGTACTTGGTTCTTCCATTGTGTTCGTGGGCGCACTTGCCTTCGTTTTCCACCCATGGGTGCAAACTTCAGTAACAAGATACAAGAGAACTCTGAAGCCAACAGGCTGAGGAAAGTTCTCTCGAAATCCTCTTCAAGTATGAATTCTATCCAGACGCCTAACGGTGACTGGACGTCATTATGTAACGAAATGCTGGAGGTCCTTATGAGCACTCACATTTCGGGCTTCTCGGACGACAACTCCGGCATTTCGGACGGTCCTAGGACCTACTTGTCTCTGGGTGATACCGTTACCGATGTCGTAAATGATGAGAGGGTGGGGGAGGGCTTTAATGTCCTTTCGTTCGACGGAATACCAAAACTGACAACCTCTCCTCGAATCAGCATGCATATTTCAAGGGAAAATCCGTGGAGACCACACTTCACGAAATCGTATCGACGATTGAAAAAGGATTGGCCATAATGAAATACACGCTCGAAGTTTTCTCTATATCGAGTTTGTTTTCAGCAATGTCTACCCGACGTCTGTTGTTAACTCCCTTCTCATGGTGGGGGTGCAGCGAGGTCCGGTGGAGTTTTTTGGGCTCCTTCTCGAAAGCGAACTATTCTATCAGAACTGGGGGCTGGTTCCATCGCAAAATATGTGACTAGAAGCACTCCCCAAGGGGGCGTTCTCTCCTTTCTACTCTGGAATCTAACGGTGAACACCCGACTTCTAAGCCTAAAGGGAAGCGGTTGTCAAGTCAAAGCGTACACTTGGCAACGGGCAAACATATTCAGGTCCTGAGTGAGTTATTGCAAAACGAACTCGGTCTGGTAAACATCTACCCCAAGGAATGTGGACTTAGTTTCAATCCTACCAGGGCAGAAATGGTACTTTTCACAAGGAAATATAAACCCTCTTTATTTAAACCTCCCCCTCTAAACGGGGTGGCACTTACTCTCTCAACCGATTTCAAACACCTTGTAGTCATTCTAGACAAGAAACTGGACAAGATGCGAAACATTGAAGATCGCTCCAGGAAGCCCAATAAAACCACACATATTTAGTACACTGGATGCACGCAGCTGTGATAATACCCATCCTTTTCTACGGGCTCACCGTAGGGAGGCCTGCGCTAAACACCACCTTGTCCAGAGCTAAGGTGGATCGAGTACAGAGGACGGCTGCCATGCTCATAACGGGAGCACTGCCCACTACAGCCACCAAATCTCTGGAAGTAATGTTAAATCTCCCACCTGTGGATCTCTACGGCAAATTTCGAGCCGACTGCAGTGCGGCTAGAATAAATACGATCCAGCTCAGATTCGGACACGCAAAAGTACTTAAAACTCTACCAGGTAATCTAAGACAGTTAGATTATACCACCTCTCTTCGCTGTTTGGACAACAAATTCTCCACAACAATCCCACAGAGGAACGAATAGGAAGGGGCCACATACTTGAACCTATGGTCTACGGCCATATATACAGATGGTTCCCAGCTTCACAAAAGAGTGGGTAGGGGAATTTACTCTGAAGAACTCACGTCTTTCAAGCAGAGCTAAACACCATAACGCGTTCTCTCGAAAGCCCCAAAAGCCTTTCTTTATTGTTAGACATCGTGCATGTTTCTGA